AATATTACAAGACTCTGGCCCTATCCATATGTATTTAACAGAGTTCCTGAATATTGGTTTTTTTGGTTTTTTTGGTTTTTTCGAGTTTTTTTTGTTTTTTTGGCTTTTTTGGATTAAATTTGTAAGTCCTGGCTGCGAGGGTGTCGCGCTGTGTATTCAGGAGTGCGGGCCGTGCGTAATTGTGTATTCGGGAATGGGAGCCTGGGAGTGCGTAAAACACGAAAAAGTGCACTCTCACAGTGTCCCGTTTTGCCCCAAAACCTCTTCAGGAAGGTGTATCTGAGCGCCGCCAAAACCCTTTACAAAGGTGTATCGGGTGCTCCCATAACGAGGAAGGTGTATCTCAGCGTCCAAAGCCGTGTGATAAGGTGTATCGGATGCCCCCAAAATCCCTTCAGAGGCAGCAGAAAAGCCTTTAGGAAGGTGTATCGGGGGCTTATGAAGTTGTATTTGAGCCCCTAAACCCTTTTAACAAGGGGTATCGGAGCAGCCAACAACCCTCTAAGCCGATGTATCGGTATCACTCTTCAAAGGCTTGCGTTCACTCGGGGGAAGGGGCACGGGACCGGACCAAAGGCGTGTATTTAACGACCTGGGATTGCTAGTGTTCAGAGGAGGGAAGCAAAAAGTTTGATGATGTTTGGGGGGTCGATTGTTTCTTGTTGGCCTCAGCGTTCAAGGGTGTTTACCGCTTCCGGTCGTGACTTCTTCGCCTTCGCTTGAACCGGGGCGTTCAAGGGTGTCTAGCAGCTTCCGGAAGGGTCGGTTCGGCTTTTCACCGCTGCCTGTAGTCGTTGGTCTGTTGTTCTAGTATTTCTAGTTGTGTGTGGTTTGCTATGTTTTTGTTTCTCGTGTTTTGATGGCAATAGCGATGAGCCTACACAACCTTAGACTTAGAATCTTTTTTTGACGCTTGCCGCTAGTGCGTACTTGAACCCAAACCAGTACAAACCTTGCCATGGCGCCGCATAACAGCGAAGGGCTTCGTGTGGTTCTGCAGAGGAAAGGCATCTTCTGCTTGCCCGAAGCACGCTGTGTAGAGTCACGAACCGACCGCAGAAGACACTCAGCAGGGCGTTTAAGTTTAAAAGACCAGGATAACACAAAAAATGCGTTTCAGTTGATTCTGCATCCCGTGCCGCCGTGCCCAACAGTCAATCCGTCGGGCCGGCAAGCCTTGACAAGGAATTTGACTCGCAGTGATTCGGATTTGCTGCCATCTGCCATTGGCTGCAATGTTCTGCTGACTATTAATTAGCACTATTGGCATGTCGGCATGCATATGCTGACTCAGGGATCCACCGATACTGTTCGATCCTCGATGAAAAAAGGTATCCGAAATTATACCTCGGTTGAGCCTGCTGATTTTGTGCACATTTCCATTCATTGACCGAGAACCTTCGCCTTCTTCAGTCCCACCCGCCCATTGCCATGCCTCAAGGTCACTGCGCTTTTTGGCGATCTCCGTGCTTTGAAAGAGAAGTTGGTCAATGCACTGGGCATGGCTCGGAGTCCTGATTGCATCTCCCGGGCAAATCTGCCAGTGAGAGCAAGCGTGCAGAGGTCAACTCACCAGAAGAAGCGACAATGAAGCTGGAGAAGGCGATAAAATCCAAGGAGGTGAGCGGCTGATGATCCTAGAGATTCAGCCGCCGTGAAGGTGAGCATGGCATCTGTTTCATGAGGTGGAATCCCTTCGCATCACCAGCGACGACCTGCGAAGATTGGTGTTGGAGGACTGTGGGAACGCGTAGGGATGTTCTCAGCGCTTGTCAGAAGCCCAGGCAGTGGCGTTTGGATCGTTGCTCAACGACTCAGAAAAGCAGGCCAGAAACACAACATCCCCAATTTCAGAAAGCCCGTGTGCAGAAGCCCTTTTCTGGTATTGCTCAGTTCGACTCGATTTACGAGCTCACGCCGGCCTCTAGCCGAGTGATGGGTGTTCTCACCGGCGATGACGAAGAAGGCCGCAACAAGTCCGTTAGTCCGTGAAGTTTCCGCCTGGCATCTCCCACTCAGGCCGAATGTTGCCAGAGTGACAGCGCACATAGATCAACGGATCTTGCAGTCTTGGATCTTGCACATGCTGCGGAGGCTACAACCACACCGCACTCTGTACAGACACGTTTTTCTGCCGCTATGGCCACATCACAGGCATGTCGAGCAGTATCCTCGGGGCGTGATGTATACAATGAATCTACCCTGGCGATGTTTCGGCCTCAGCAGCCGAGGATATTGCTACATGAATGCCTGGTGCAGATGCTAGAGAGCTCGTGTAGTACCAAGACCGGGCCTCCAGATATGCAGCCATACGTAAAATCGGAACAGGCTGCATCAGCAACAAGGAATCAGGAACGCAGCTCCCCTTTTGGAAATCGTTCTGATGAAGCATCTCCCTGAATTCAAGCGCACAAAGTCATGCTGAAGTAGAACTTCAGCAGAGGATGTTCAGAGCTTTCCACTGCAGACGTTGCAAGTGAACGCCCACCTACATCCGCTAACATCACTACTAACGGCACTAGTGCTTTTTGTTTCATCCGGTCTTGCCATGGTCAAGAAGCCCAAAAAGAAGCAGGAGACTCCAGAGACCGGTGAGGAAGTCCTGGTTTCGGCACCGCAGAAGCCAGATGTCAAGAGCAAGAAGAGGAAAAGACAGGAAAGCAAGAGCGAACCCGTCGAGATCGAAGCTGTCGAGAAGCCAGCTGAGAAAGACGCTGATGCTGCTGAGCGTCTCCGGCGGGCCTTGCAGAGGGACATTCAACAGCTCGTCCTCAGGCGCCACCGGCACCAGCAGCCACACGCAGTGCATGATAGTGCATGGGTCATGCATCCTTTCAACAGGCTTCGCAGTGAAGGCAAGTCAAAGGCTGAAATAAAAAGCGCAACCCATGAGCTGAAGGCGCCGTTGGTGCTCGCGCAATTGCAGACTTGCACCGGGCATGAGCGTTTTAAGGCACAACACGGAGCTGTCAGCAAGTCGAAAAGCTTGAAGAGCAGCAAAAAGCAGAAATGGGAAGCTCCTCGGCAGCCACTGGAACGTTCATCACTCGGTGAGTTTGAGAGTTCAGTTCGGCCGCTAGTGCCCGGAACCGCTTCATGTCAAGCTCGAATCGAACTATCCTGCGACACTGGCATCCTTACCAGCTTAGGCCAATGCTGCAGAAAGACGAGAAGCTGGCATGTTTTAGGGAGGGTCACAGGGGTCGGGTCTGGAGTGTGCAAGGTATGCTGCAACATGTTGCAACAAAGCTTTGATGCACCTGCTGCTCGTGCCGCTGCGGCAGCGGAATCCGCGAGCTGTCCTTTTGTTAGAAGTGCAAACCGAGCCGGAAGCCTAACGTGAGTCGTGGTTTTTGTGAGTGCTCGCCTTGAGGATCGCGCCACCCATGAGCACAAAGAGCGACATCGAGCGCCGCGGGCGGCCTCACCGGCTCACGATAGCTCCGATGCTCAGGTGGAAGTCGACACGGACCTATCCGGCCGCGGGGTTGGCTCTTCTGTCCAGTACCGGGATGCCCATGCTCCGATCGCACCAAAGCCAGGGTTTGGCGGCAACATGCGGCAACACGCCAATGCACATGGGGGGGAACTATGGATCAAGCGCACTGAGTATCCGTCTGGCCGGAGCGGCACGCATCCCAGCTGCCAACCGACCGCCCGTTTCGCTGCCTGTGCTCCTGTGCCGTACGATCCTCGAGCAGCTCGGCACCGGTGGGGACAGGTCCTCAAGCAAGGCGACGGTGGTGCCAGCACTTCATTGACGCCTGCGTCATTTTGCACCGCGGAGTTCGCTGCTTTGGATCGGTTTACTTCTTGATCTTACCAAAGCATCCCTCCGCCAGTTTGGCGGCTCGGTGCCGGACTCAGCTGGAAGCGTGCAACACGGAGACCCGCTTACGCTAGGTCCCACTGGACTTCGATGTTTTCTTCCTGGATGACGATGTTCTGGCCGGTACGGTTGCAAATGTCGCGGGGCGCCGCGGCAATGCAGGCCACGCTCACCTGGTGCGATTTGGCGCACTCCTCCCTCATCACAACTGTGACACCACGGCTTGGCGTCTCTAACCGGCATCCGGCATCCACCTCAGGTCGCAGCCAGCCTGCAGTCTTGCTCAAGCCTGAACCTCCACAGCACGCCGCCCCAGCGGCCTACCTTGCTTCGCATGCTTCGCTTTGGGGCAGCGAAGCTTGCTGCGAGCCTGATGCCGGCCTGCAAATCAAGTATGATAAATGCAGTCGGTGTCCGCCACGTCACAGTCCTCCTGAACGCTCAGCTTGCACAGCCCTTGTGGGCCAGAGCTCTTGCAGCATGTGGCAAGCTCACGGGGCTCTGCAGCAGTCGCAACCAGGCGTAACATCCTGCACCCACCGGTAGTCTCGGCCACGAGGGGAAGAAAACAAAAAGGCCTGCTGCATTCTAGGCCTATGCCACGGTAACTGCTTCAGCCGAAGCCTGGGTAAGGGTCTCCGTCCGCTGCGGGCCTGTGATGGCAAATTCCATTGTGGACGGGTTTCCTCCCGGACAAGGGATAAAGATGTCAGCGGGGCGCCGCTGCGTCAGCTGGGTGTCGTCCGGCCGTTGGGGGAGAAGGACCCCCGCCAACGGCGCAGGCTTCAGCATGCAGGGGCTGGGTGCCAGTTGCACCTTGTACGTCGGATGAATGCATGCCTTCCTCACCACAATTTATTCTACATTGGTCTTGTTGTATGCCTTGTTATGTTTTTGTTCGTACACGGAGTATATAATTGACGACAGACCTGTCGACAGGCAATGTCGTAGTTGTCCTCATAAACAATATGATTTATGATGAATAGGGTCTCGTTCGCTCTGAAGCATTCTCGATTGAGGTGTTTCACTCTTGCGGTTTGTTTGTGGGTGTTGCAGATGTCGCACTTGCTAGTGCAAGCTCGCCTTGATTCCGGGAAACGGAGATCGCCTTCACAAGGTCCATATTGCCCCAAAGCATGCGTTGTTGTGTTACCTAGCTGAATCAAGCGGCGAGCCGGGAAGCGCAGTGTTTCAATGTGAACGTCCATGACTTGCAAGCCATCCCTTGCTGCGCTGCAGCCGAAGCAGTCAGCTCCAAGTTTCTGAACCGCATGACATCGCCAGCTCGGATTGGCACAAAGCATCGTTCTTGATTGGTCTGACCGAAGACGGAGTCCTCCACAATCATGCGTTTGTGCTAAGACTTCGGGTGAGCGTTAGCAGTGCGCTTTGGGATGCCGCTCTCCAGTCCAAAGCCGTGTCACTGTGACAGCTGCGGACAGGGAAGACGCACCTGCAGCGACAACATGATTTAGCCGGGGCTTCAGGCAGAGGCTTCCCTGTCTCATGACATGCATGGGGTGGAGCGGCTGGAGGTTGTGATCCCAGTGGTGTGGCGTGGGCGGCACGACAAATTGGACGTTCTCCAAGCCCGGCGCGGACAGGGCACAGAACTTTTCACGATGGAGATGTAGCTTTGAATGCCGAGGCTGCGGAGAATGTCAAAGCCTGCCTCGCGCAGCAGGGCTTGGACGTTTGGCTGGATAGCAGGCTTGCATCGCACTGAACTTAATTCATCTTTCATGTAAACGTCTGCAACTCGCAGGCGTCATCTGACCCCTGGTCAAAAGCCTCATCCACAGCTCACCACAGCTCTGAATTGCGGTTGCTCCTTGAGTTTACCTTTCCCTGGCCCAGGTTTTCACACTGGGAGCATCGTGGCGTGATGCTACGCGTGGAGATTGGACCACAGGATCTGCAGGAGACGGAGCACGCCTGTGCATTTAATCCGTGCCATATTCCCGGTGCTTCATGCTGACAGGCACAGGTATGCCAAGTTTGCAAAGCAAAAACTGCTGGCGACTACCAGTCTGTTGAAAGGTGGGCAAGCAGGAGTTTGCAGCTTGAGAAGGAGGGCTGCTGTTCAATCTGTCCTCAGGAAGCAGGTGCCTCTACCACCTGCTGGCGCACGATCTTTGCTGCTACGGCTGAAAGAGCGCGGGACCTGAGCACAGTCTTGCCTTGTCAGCTGTGGAAGCTGCAGACTTCAAGGTGGGGTTTGTCGCAGCTCGATGTTGAAAGACGTGATGGTGACTCCGAAGACGAAGCTCCAGAGGTGTAGTATTGGTGATTCCCAGATGTGCAGACCCGTTGCATCATGGCATCTGTCAGGTGCGCGGCAGACACCAAAAGCCCAAGGCAGCTAGGGCTCTGCTTCCCAGCGCTTGAGATGGAAACCTGCTGCCTCACAGGCCTCACCGGAGGAAGAAGATGAAGTGCAAGGTCTCATTAAATATGCTCCTCGGTCGTTTGCTGTGCTTCTTCTGTTCCGAAAGGCAACTGGCAGCCAAGAGCCGCAGCGGCAGGCACGTTTCGGTCCTCACGGCATGATTCATGTCCGCTGACAGCAACTGTCAGAGCTGGCAACTCTGCATAGGCAAGAAGAAGAAGGGCAAGGCGGTCGGCAGTGTTTATGGAGCTGTTTGCAGAGCTGTCGGAAAGCAATTCAATGACAACTGCAGAAAACAGGGTCGCAACCTCGAGCGAGGCCCGTGGCAGGAAAGACGGTTGACGCTCCAGCGACCCGCTGCTGTGGTGGTGCACTACGTGCCGGCGCCAGCGAGAGTGTCAAAACCAAAAGGCTGACATCAAATCCTCCCAGCTGTGTTGAGACTGTTCTACGGCACTTATCGTCGTGAAGGGATGTTGGTTACCCATTGGCTTGCCCTATTTTGCCGTGCTCAGGCTTTGGAGTTTGCTCAAATTGTAGTGGCTGTGTCCTGTTGGCTCTCAGCATGCCCTCGATGTCGCGACGGTGGCTTTGAAGCTCCAGCAGGCTGCTTGCAGTGTGAGAAACTCGCATGTGACTTCGACCCTCTTCGACCTCAAAGAACATACGATCAGCTTAACCTTGTGTTTGCAGACGCCTCCGGCATGTCGTCACGGGCCGGGCGAGTGGGGCCTGTTCTGAGCTGGACGCTGGCACTTTGCAGCAGTCCTTTGCTATTTAGGACGGGTGCGATGTCCGGGGTGGAAGCTTTTAGTTCAGGCGGGTTGCTAGGTTCTAGACATCTCTAGACGCATTCCTCCCGTAGCTTGGTACTCAACGCCATGTTGCTGTTTTCTGCAATCAACTCCGGCCTTCTAGTAGGACCGTGGCTGTCTGCAACATAGCCTTGCAACTAGTTCCATTGATTTCGAGTGTAGCTCTTTTTGGAAGCATTCGTCACGAAGTCGCGAAGCATCATGTGGGAGCGTAAGATGATTCGATCGCTGCGCGACCGCGCCTCGGCTCAAGCGGCTGTTGCTTTGTAGAGCAGCGCCGAGGTGGCGTTCGGGGAAACTGAGGGAAGTGTGCCCACACAGTGCCCATCACCCCAAACTATGCAGTAGCCCACCAGCTGCTTTCCTTTAAGGCGGGGGATGCTCTGACAAGAATTGAGCAAAGGTAGGCATAACTGAGCTTTTCAGAGCTTTGATGCTTAACGCTGGGTGTGTAGGCTCATGCCACTTGGCTGCCGCTCAGCAGGGAGGAGGCTGGTGGCTGCGTGACCACAACCCCGCCAGCCTCAGGGACGCAGGACTTGGAGATCGCGATGACTCCCGATCGTCGCAAATTCGAGCCTTCGAGCATGGATTGAGCAGCGAAGGCTGGTCGACTTGGCTAGAATGGCCCGATCCCTCCTCATCGCCCGACCGTGCTTGGTCCTGGGACATCGGGCTCTGCATGGTGTTCGACGGTGAGCTTCATTGGCTGGATGCTGTTTGGCAACGCGCGAGCTGGATGCCGAAAAGCCGGCGCCACGACCAACGATGCTGTGCCGGAAAGGCATCTTGCAATATGATACAGGACTGGTGGTCGGCGGCGGAGGGCACAACCGGCTCGTGTTGGCGTGCACGCTCAGCAGTCTGCTCAAGAGGAACTGGGGAAATTGCGAAGCCGTGCGAACACTACAACGCCGAAAAGCTGTTCCTGGCTGGTGTGCACCCCCGGAAGTTTGGCGCATGTTGCTTTTCCCATCAGAGCATTGCCATCGAGGCGCATCTTTGTCGTCGCAATGTCATGCCCAAGTTGAGCCTCGGCTTTTGCACACACTGGTGCAAACACGGGCATCACAACGCGTGCCTGCTCTGTGGAACATTTCATGCCCGGTTGAATTGGACAAGCGCAATAACAAGCCTGGCTGCAGTGGGAAGAGGCCCATTCACCTGTTATGTCCTGTCGGAAAGGCTTACTTTCATCAGCTATGGACGCGAACAGTGCCAAGATATGCACATCATGCTTGCAGGTTCGTTCGCCACCGGCGTCGTGAGCAAGCGATCACACAGCAACGTTGCGTTAGTTGGCGCCTCCAGCATGCTGGGTTGGGGCATGATGTCACCGTGCTCTCTGACCTTAAGAACTTTTCCTTCACCTTCTCATGCCTCCTTGGAGGCAGCAGTACGCCAACATGCCCGTCCTGACGATGTGGAGCGGCTCACGCAAAGGCACCACGAAGCTCTTTTGCTTCTGCGAGACCCATTCCAGCCTGCATACACAGTATGAAAGGGGATCGCATGGCCCCTTCACAGTTCCTGTCTGTGTATTTCCAGCTGTTGAAGAGTGCCGCAGTCTGCAAAGATCGGACATGGCTCAGAACCACGACAAGAAAGGACTACTTGTTCGGCCCATGGGCCCGGCGGCGCAGAAGGCCATGCAGGACATCTACCATGCTCGTACAGCCTTTAGAGGTCAGTTTAAGAGGGTTGCAAAATATTTGACAGGATGGCTGCACCACTCTTGCGCCACGTCTCCTGAAATCTCAAGGCACATCGCCGCGGTCAAGCCGTCATAGAGTGTACTCCAAGGTTTTTGGTTCAGGAGGGATGCTCCCAGAGCGCAGCGGCAGCTTGTTTTCGAGCCCATGGTCTTGTCAGCAGTGTATTCTGGCCTGGATGCAGTGCCATCGCACAAAGGTGACGACAAACGCATTACACAGTTGCTGGCTTCTTTGTCCCGCAAGCTGTTGCAAGGTCGCGTGTGCACTCAGCCGTGGCATGATGTACGAGGGCCCCGCAATTGGACCAACCTGCAAGTGCTCCGAGAAGTGGGTTTGTTTACACTTCTGCCACTGAAACGTGTGTTAGGCGATTGCTGTGGTGGCAAAATTTTGTCAAAGGGCCTGACGAAAATGTTGCGTTGCTGGCTAGCTTTTTTGGGCAGTTTCCTTGGGAGGCTACTCACAGCTAGGTCCTGCGCCCGACTCACGCAGCAATGCAAACCTGTGGTTGAGGAGCTGGCCCGGAAAATGCCGAGGCGACACTGGCAGAGGGACTTTTGCTACCAGGAAGAACGACATGGTGATGGAGGTGATCCACAGTTTTTGGTGTGGCGATTCACGCAGGGCAGGAGGAAGGGTTTAAAGCGTGATCGCGCGATCGAAGCGCCTACGTCGACGAGTGGATCGAAGAGAACTTACAGGGGCACTTTGCCGACAGCATGTCCAGGCAGTCTGCGGGCATCTACCAGAACTGGAAGGCTTGGGGCCACCGAGAGGCTGGCCCGCTGAGGTCTGGCCGCTCCGAAACGATCGAAGCCAGTGAGGACAACCTGTTGGGCTTCCTGGGCTACATAAACCGGTTGGGAGCATCCATGGTGGCGACACTAAAAGATCAAGGATGACTCAGGATGACCGCAAACGAGGTCAAGGGGACCGGACCGAAAATTAAAGGAGGCTCCTCGGGGTTGGGTGTCTAGCGGACACCGAGCATGCTAAAGCTTCGCAACGACGGCCAAGGAGCGATGCGATGGAAATAATGACCATCGCCGCGTCGGCTTGGTTGTTGATGCTGAGGGCTAAGGAGTACTGTACCGTGAGTCCAACGAGGCTGACTACGCCATGATCCTGACGGACACGGACCTGAAGTTTGAGGCCGAGAACAGCCCCGAGGCCAACGTAACGCTCCAGCTCTGCAAGTCGAAAATGGACCATGAGGCCTCTGGGACGTGCAAAATGATGCACGCCTCAGGCTTCAGGGGTCGAGAGATTATGCGTGGTGGTTGAAAGCGTGCAAGCAGGTGGCCCCGCAGCGCTCCCGATGGGCGAACGGACACGGGCTGAAGAGGACCCAAATCCAGAATTTGTTGCTGCGAGCGGCAGTTAGCGCGGGCCCCCTCCCGAGAGGTTCATGTCCCACTCGCTCCGCATTGGTGGAGCTTCGGCGCTGTTCCAGGGCACCGGCGAAATCGAGTTGGTCAAGCGGACAGGCCGACGGACGTCGTCGGCAGTGCAGCGCCACTGCATGATGGCGAGTCGGCTTTGACCGCGACCAAGATGGCCACGCTGGAGCACAACGTCCACTACACGTGGGCTGAAGTTTTGTTTGGGGATTGGGGCTGCCCACGCCACAGGATGTGCAGCTTTGTCATCGGGTGCATTCGACCGCAAAAGGGAGAGAGTCGTTGCATGCACCGTGTATGCATTATAAATGATAAATCGAGAAAAATTCAGAGTTGGGCAGAACTGCATTGCTTGAGTGGTTTGGCAAGTGCGAAACATGTTGCGACCCCAGAGCTTTGATGGTCTAAGCTAGCCCACCCTCCCAGACAGGGGGGCAGGGCGAGCCAGAGGATATGCAGCTTTGTCACCGGGTGCGTCTGACCGCAAACAGGGAGAGAGTCGTTGCATTCGCGTGTATGCGTTCAAAACATTTTTTGTCGGCAGGGCCAATGGGCAAGAGAAGACTCTGTCGAGGCTACGTTAATCCCATCAACCCAGCCCGGGTCGCGCAAGTCAGCGCTGTCTCAATTGGGTGTTGGGTCGCTTGGCGGTTAATCGGGGCTGCTCTGACAGTGTGCCCGGTGTACACCGGTAAGGAGAACACTTTTGGCCGAGGAACGCCGAATCCTGGACAGATTTCGCGGAAACAAACCTTGCTCGCTGTTTGTTCACTTTCTGCACAGGAGCATCTCCTGCTTTGGAGTGCCTGGTGAAATTCATGGCGCCTTGGCACTTCAGGTAAAGGTCGCTTCCGAACCCTGGATCAGTAACGTAGATCCGGAGAGAAAGGCCAACAAGTGCGAGGGCCGTAGCGAGGGCCATGTCTCAGCAAAGGACCTACACCGCCCAAGCCTGCTTCGGCTCCGATCGCCAGGGCCGGCTCCAGACTTCGAAGGGCCGCAGGCAGAAAGTGACTCGGTCAAGGTCCATTTTAGTCCTTGACATGGCAGGTGCACAAAGCAAAGCTCGCAAGATGACGCCCAAACAGTGGGCCAAGTGCCCTCTGCTGTTTGTCAACACGAAAGGGGTACGATGGGTTTTGACAGTTAGAGGTCGTAGATTCGTTAACGGCATCCATACTGTACACAACAGTCACGCGGCCAATGCGCAGTGCGCGCGGCATCGCACATCGAATTCTGCTGCTCAGCGCGGCACACATTTGACCAACACTTCTCCCAATGCCGGTTGCACGGGCGTTTTGAGGCGTCCTCATGGTCATGCGACTTTCAGATGTTCATATTTGTTTAGAGTGATGCATCACTGCTGTTGTAGCTTACGGCTGACGGTCGATGCATGTTGTTTAAACGCCGAAGGGTCTCGCCCCCAGCCCCCAGAATCTTGATTTGTGACGAGAGGCAATAGCAATGCCACAAACATGGACGCAACATGGACCGTCGGCTAGTATCTTCTGGCTGGGAAGAAAGCTGATCGGCATGTGCGGCCAAAGTGTCGCCCGATGAGCTTGCGGCCATTGTACCCTGGACCCTTGATCTCAATAAGATTGGATTCGTAGGCATCGGGGGAATGGGAAACTTGCATCACCACTGATCCCGAAAATGCCCAATGGGTCACACGGCGCCTCACTCGAGACGCATCACCTCGGCTATTGCTGAAGGGGCAGCCAAGCATCAGTTTCAGGTTGCACAGACACTTTATGTCCGCAGCGTTTCCGTAGTCTGTGATGGTAATGGAGTTGGCCTGGCAACTGGCGTGTAGCAAAATCGAGGAAGCCGACAAGTGCGGTGAGCTGTCGGATCACGACAGACATTTGAAGTTGAAAGCCTTCCGCTCACTGTGTTGCACGACCTCATGCAAGCGGCACAAAGGTTGGTAGGGAGTGAACGGGACATCCGTTTGATGATGTCATCATAAGTTGTCTGCCCATACCCCCCTGACAAAAAGCCGCATTTGGCAGAGCCCTGGTGAGATCGGAGGTTTGGGGATTTTCGGGCCCATCCTTCTCCTGCTTCGGCAGGGATGTATCTTGCAGTCTGATGGCCCCCAAAATTGTATTTGGAATCGGATGACCAGTTGGATTTCTGGAAGCGCGGGTGTGGGCAGCGACACGAAGTCGTGGCAAGATGCATATTCGGCATCCGGAAGTCTGCGGCGCTTTTGCCATCGCGTCCCGTGATTCCCAGCGAATCTTCAAAGGATCTGACAGGCAGTTACGGCGCAAGTGCGTCTTCGGAGTCTTGCTCTGCCGGAGTCGTGAAATTGTGCAAGTGCTTTAAAATCATTTCTTGCCATTGAGACATGCAGCTCAAAAGTCCGTGTAACGATTTAGCTGCCTCATACAGCTGACAAGGCAGCAAGTTTCACAAAAGAGGCAGAAAAGTCAGAGAGCAGTGTCAAAATCTGGAATTTGGCATGTTGAGGTAATCTGGTTGTCATGCGACGGCCCAATTTATGTCGCTGGAGAGTTCTGCTGCAACAACAAACGCCTTCCGTGATGCCGCGGTATAAGTTAGCAGTGACCATTTCCATTTTCTGACCATGCACCAACCCCTAGCACCCAAACCATAACAACCTAAACCTCAACCCCCAACTCACCCAAAGAACCCGTAGTAAGATCCACATGATGAAAACCATGCTATGGAACTATTCCCAACCCCGCAGAACATAACATACTCAACCCCATAGAACAACACCCCCATAGAAAACCCATAATACCCAACCGGAAATCCCTAACCCTAGAAAATGGACATGGTGTTCTTAAAAAACTTATCTATAACAGGAATAAGGTTTGGAATAAGGTAAAACCATGGCGCAGTCATGATCTATAACAGTGAACGGATTACAACTACAATATACTTATACTTCATCCACAGAAATTTCAATAGTTATTCTGTCCGTATGCTTACCGAATGGCATAAAATAATGTTCTAAACACTCATCGTTCATTAGTAATGGATGGACGTGATTAAACATTTTATCAATATCGGGTTTAGGTTGTTCAGGTTCCGGTTGTGGTTCTTCCTGATCAACAAATTTATGAGGAAATTGTTAGTTTGATCGTTGGCGATGTTCCCTTTTCTGCTTTTCGTCTTCTGCTTTAGTTTCTGCTTGTAATTTGTCGTTTCGTTTGCCTTCTTTCGTGAAGTTACCTATTTCCTCTAATCTTTCATCAACAGATTTAGTTTGGAATTCGGATGTAGCGCATAATGAAAATGAGCATCCCCGTTTCGTGTTTAATTTTATGACCGCATTCTTGGCATAATTGGCTCCCCTTTGCCCTTTCCTCTCTACGTGCTTGTTTATGTTCGTTTTGGTTTTTCTTGTAGCATGTTCTTTTCGCTTCACGGCAACTATTACAAGTCTTAAAACCGTCAAGCTCTTCTACATCTTTTGTTGCGCAACACGATGTACATACTCGTTTCTCCATCTTACAATGTTAAAGAGTCTAGTCCTTAGGCATGGTTAGACTGATAAAGCAAACACTCTTACAATTGACTCTTTAAAACAGGGTATTTAGGGATGGGGTTCCTTCTAGCAAAATGAAGTGCGGGGCAACACTTTCAAAGTAGTTAAAGACCATTACCACACTCCGTTGATGTGCTTATGGAAACCGCACGAGGCACTGGCATCTAGGGGCACACTGTCACCACTAACATCATTAAATCTTTAGACTAGTTTGTAATTCTGCCAACTGATAAAACTTAAACAACACTCTAAATCGTTTCTTATATTCTTCATGATGATAACAATCCTCTAGTTCATCTATATCAGCACTTAATCTAGCATTATACATTCAAACATGTTTTCTCTCAGTCCTCCAATCTTTTTTCTCCTCCTTGTTTCCTGTTTTAGGGCACAAGCGGTCCATATACAACAAGCTATATATTTAATCCATACTGCTTAAGAATTACTTCTTCAACTCTTCTACTTCTTTATCCAATCTAATCATCCTCTCGTCTAATGATATGCTACGCTTAAAACCTGCGTCTATGCCTTCTATACTCTTGTTGTTTATTTTATCTATCTTATCCTCCAATGCTTCTATGCTCTAGTGCTAGTGTTCTCGGTTGAATAGGTGGGGTAATTCCTCTGCCAAAACCTCATGAGGATGTCTCAATGTTTTCTTCAACAAGTTTAATTCCACTTTCGTCGGTTATTGTTTTCTTCTCTTTATTCAACATGTTTCTACTACATCTACACGCCAAGCACGAAATACCATTCTTGTCAATATTGAAGCCTCCTTGTTGTTGTTTCTCTGTCAGTTTTACGAACTAGGTTTTCTTTTTCAAGCGAAGAAAAACTGTTTTTAACAACTCTAGCAAAGTATATATAGCAACATCTACGATATGTATTTGGCATTATGTCACTGATGATTTCTTCACATTCAGCAAGTGTTGTTCTATTATCCTTCATTATTGTTACTAACGGTATAAAATTTCCATGTATTTTCTTAATAATGTTTACACCTATAGTTAAACCACGTTACAATGATAATTTGGAGCCCTTCAGTTTCCGTTGATAGTAATTGGACGGCGGTTAAAAGATACATTCAGTACGAGTTGAAGGTTGATATAGAAATGGAAAAGTGCTTCTTTGATGAATACACCCTAGAAGCATTAGACAAGGTGCAAAAGCAACAGCATAATCCGTGCTCCGTAATATTAAATACCCCTATATTTAAAGGCGTTTGGTCCGGAAATCCTGGTTTTGCACAGCTCAGAAAAATCTTCTATATTCAATGGGAAATCTTCGTCCCTTAACTATTAAACCTTGGAGTCGGCGATGGGAGTTAGGAACCCAAAATTTACTGCCTTACTGCACATACATACAGGCTTAGTAGAGGTGTAAAACTTGCTATTTTACTGCAATTAGAGGCCAAGTAAAGGCTGAAAACTTACTACCTTACTCCAATTAGAGGCTCAGTAG